TTTTCTGAACCACTGCACAATTTTAATCAGACGACCATACTGTATCCAATCAAGGAAGGATTTGCGAGGGGGTGGGGGGTGTTCACCACGGCCTTCCCCAGAGGACTGTAAATCCAAGCTCTGCTCAGGAAGACGAGATGTCTCGGGCTTCACAGCCTGCCCAAACCTAATTTGCACTAGAATTACATGGTCATTACTAATGTATACAGTGACTCAAATTGATTACTCTGCTATTAGTAAGAGCAAGGCGCTCACTTTGGTGATGGCAGCTTCCGACAGAGGGGGGAGCATCACAGGGTGAGAACAAAGCCAAGCGGGGACTGTGTGTCTGGGGGGTGAGGGAGATCATAGGGATGGAGAAGGCCATGCCCAGAGGGATCAGCATGGCGAAGGGCATGGGAATCACCTACTCAATACAACAGAGATCTCACGCCATGGAAACATAACCCTGGAGAAAAACTCTTCTCTCACAGCCACGAGCAGACCCTAGTTATGTGTGAAAACACTTTGTGGAATCCCTCCACACATTAAAACACCCGAAGACACCAAACACCCAAAGGAACTGGGGAAATTTTGTTGTAGCCTTTCACAGCTGCTGTTACATTTGCTCTACAAGTTATGGAGTGCCTGTGACAAAGCAGGAAGGAAAGGTTCAGAAGTTGTCACCCACGCTAATGTGCAGCAGGCAATAGCTCTGCTCATCTGCCAGCCCTGATGGCCATCAGGGGACTCCCAGGTTCCCCAGATAGGGTGTGAGATCATCTTCCCTTTCAGCACCACCACGGTCTGTTGGCTTTCTCACCTTGCTTTCATGGCGTGAAGTTTTAGAATCACAGAATCATTAAGATTAGATTGTAAAATTAATATCATCTAGTCCAACTGTCATACCTTACCATGTTTATCTTGCAGCTTGTAACACTCTGGTATTGCATTCAAACCCGAGCCTGCTTTTACAGCAGGACTGTTTAATTCAGCCACTGTTTAATTCTGCCATACAGGTGCTTAGGCATGTCCAGGCTGCACACTGCACTGGGAAAGAGAATCACCTAGGTCACAAAACAGCCATGTGAGGAGGAATGCGTAAGGTTGGAGATTACAATAGTTATTTTTGAATTTGGGCTTGAAGTTGAGAAAAAATTCTTTACTAAGAAGGTGGTAAGACACTGGCATTGCTGCCCAGAGAGCTGTGGATGCTCCATCCCTGGATACGTTCAAGGCCAGGCTGGATGGGGCCATGGACATCTGATGGGGGGCAACCCTGCCCATGGCAGAGGATTGAAGCTCAATGATCTTTAAGGTCCCTTCCAACTCAAGCTATTCTGTGATTCTGTGATTTTATGAAGCAGAATCTATGTGTGACTTTAATAAGACTGAGACACATGGCTCTCATTTGCTCTTCCTTCTACTTCTGTAACTTCTGCAATGTTGCATTCCCAGTGAGCAAGCCACAAACACCAACCCAGCTACTGGAGATCAAGGCACACCATCTATGAGATACCAAGGCTCTGGTCCACAAAGATGCTGGATGGCCTGATTCAAGCTGCCCGGCTCACAGTCAAGGAGACAGGCTGATCTCCTCCAAAGCAATGCATCTGGGATGGGACTTGACACTGTTGGACTCAATGGATCCCTTCCAACACAGGACATTATATGATTCTATTATGGCCTGATTTTTTGCATGGTCCTGTGTGGAGACAGAAGCTGGACTCAATGATTCTTATGGGTCCCTTCCATCTTGGGATATTCTATGACTATGAGCAGCTGAAAGATGCTCGAGAAAAGTATGTAAGGGTTTGTATCTGCTCTCTTAGAAAATACTTATTCTTGGCACAACCAAACTTACCTCTGTGATCACGCAACCACCTCCACTCTGCTCCTTAAGCAGAGCTGGAAGCACTTCATTCCATTTTCCACTTCTCTCCCCAACTGCTGAAGCGCCGGCGGGGAAGCTGGGATGCCAACCACCAGACCTTCCAACCAACATCAAAAGCCTCACATTCAGCTCCTCAAAGTGAGTATTTTGGGAACATTATGTCGCCACAGCCATTAATTTTTCACATGGCGGGTGGGAAACCTGCCCTGTTTGAAGGGCACGGCAGGAACAGCCAATTGCTCTGTAATATTTTACAGCATGGGAAGGGGGGGGACATTTGTAGCATCCACCCCAGAACATCCACAGAGACACTTCTGATATTTTAAGCAAATACTTCCAGCTGTTGTTCAGCTTTTTCTTCCAAGCCATGGCAAAAGCAGATAAGCCATTAATTGCACAGGCAGATAGCTGTTAGGATGTGTGAGAGAACTGGCTCCACTGCCACTGCGTAGGTGGAGCTGATTAGATGGACCTGAATCAGAAAAAAAAAAAAGGAACATTTCCCACAAGGCCGCCGATTGCTGATCTGCTTCGCTGCATGGTGAGAAAAGCTTTTCCTGTGTGACTGCAGGAGAAGACAATTCAAGATTCAAAAATAACAGCAAAATTGCTCTTCAGTTCCCCACTGAGCCAGGCTACTAGCAGGAGTACTTTGGGGTTTATACATCATTCCTCCAGAGTTTCACTGCCAGGCAACAAACACAAGGGGACAGGATGGGCATGCAAGGATTTGGGGTTTACTTCCAACAGGTTGAAACGCAGCACCACAGACTGGGTGATGTTAGCAGGACCTCTGGGTCCATTTGGTCCCACCAGAGGCATGTTAGTGCACAGGAACAGCCCCATGTCCTGGCAGCTTTTGGACATCGACAAGGAGAGCCCACAACTTTTTGAGGTTCCAGCACACTCACGTAGTGCAACAGTGCTGCCTGGTGTTCAGGGAGACCCTTCTGTGCTCCAGTTTGTGCCCACTGCCTTTTGTCCTGGTGCTGGGCATCACTGACATGAGCTTGGCTTCATCCTCTCTGCCCCTTATTATCCACTCTCTCAGCTAGGTGATGTACTGCCAGCAGGGTCTCTATTTGATCATCTGCCCATGAAAATCAGTTCCACAAAAAGGCTCATGACCAAAAAAACCTGTGTGAAAGTCAGTGCCCATGCCCTCTCTGCTGGACAAATTGGCAGCTTCTACAGATCCTGGGCTTTGCCATTTACAAACTGCCAGTTGTTCTACGGGCCACCCAACTGTCAATGTCAGGGAGATGATGCCAGTGATGGACAGAATGCAAAGCTGGGTGTTGCAGCACCTCAGAAACCCTTTCATGAACAAAACCCTCAAGTTTTTGGTGTGTAGGTTTTTCCCCTTCCAGTTGTTGCCTGCTGTATCTGACACGTATTACTTTTCTCAGGACAGGGAGTGTTTCCCCACAAGTCAGCACAGCACAACTAGCAAATAAGACTCATTTTTCCCACTGATGTGCAAATTGAAAACCTTAAAATGATGCTCCAAAGCGAGCTGACCAAAAATAAAGAACTAACAACTAAAAACTGCTCCTCGGGAAGTTTCATTTACAGATGCAAAGCAGCAGCACTGCAGGGTTAAATCCTCACCTTGCAAGAGATTCATGAAGAAGCTGGACTCAAAGTCATCTCTGGTGCAGATACACAATTTGTCTGGTCAATCTATGGGCACTTTCAAACATTACTGCCAAAATCCTTGTCCAGGAAAAATGATTTGCTCCATTCTGCCCTGTTGTCAGTACAACGCCTGAAACAATTCATTTTAAATGGGTATCTCAGTAACACAAGCAGAAAGGCAGCTATTACGGGCCAGAGATTCTTTATTCCTATTTCTGGCCACCCAGTCTGACACTGCAGAAGCAGCCTGCCACCAAAAGGCCAAATCCCAAAAGTGCATCTGAGCTGGGACTGACTGCAGCATGAGCAGCCCTGAAATAGGGTGAAAGTAGGAGCTGAGAGCCCCTGGGCATAGCAGCAGCTCTCACCGTGATATTACAAACATCACTGTCCCATTCAACACCACATCCACCCTGATTCAAGTCTAGCAGCAACAATCAGGAGTAGGCAGATGATGGAATATCACAAAATTACCATATCAGGGCACGGCCAGTTTGGTTGTCAGCTTCCCTCCCTAGTCAGCTTATTCAGATGTAGGAAAAACACACTGAAACAGCAGAGGAACAAAGGACAGCCTCCTCAGTTTTAAGGACTCCTGGTTCTTAGGTGCATCAGAGGGTTCATATTGTCACTAAGGATGCAAGCAAGCATGCATACACAAGTTGCACACAGTCACAAGCACCACACTCATGAAGGATCTTGAAGCAATTTCTTGTGGAGATGGCTCACCAAGCACAAAAACTATGGTAAGCAGGCCTTGCAGAAGGTCAGCAGGGCAAAGAAAACCAAGGAGGTACTGCTAGGGAGCAGCTGCTCTCCATAGCTGGGCTCCATCAGGTGAATCACCCTTGGCACTTCTGCTGCTGCTGTAGTGGGAAGATAGGGAGCTCCTTACCGACAACAGGTTTTTGTTATGGATGGACACATATCTGAAGTACAGAGATCTGTTTTCAGCTGCACCTAGGAGTGTTTGGGCATCTGTCCTCTCAGCTGAAAAAAAATGAATGACAAAGAGGAAGCAGGAAGGTTTAACTAAAACCCTAAGTAATGTAACGTGGAAAAGAGAAAGACAATGCAAACAGCAATGACCAAGTTGCTGTTCCACAAAAGGTGACACCAGTTAATACACACTGACCTCTAGGTTGTGCAAAGCAAGAGTTAGCTTGTTCTTTTTGTGGTTGTTTTGTTACACTTGGTAAAATTAACAGCCAAAATTCTGGGCTAAAATTGAAATGAGTAAATATTTTCTAAGGATTTTACCCCATTTTCCCACAATTTATGTGGGTAGCAAGCTTCTATGATGGCCTTAGCTGGGAATGCTTCCCTGGTTTTAAAATGTCTGGATTTTGTGAAAGTGTTCTTTGCAAACACAGAAGTATCATGGAAACCATAATCATGTTATAAAGTGATCTGGTTTTGGATAATGCACTGAGCTGAAACAAAGGAAACAAGACTGTTTTTAGAACATCCACACCAGTGATTCACAACATCCAAATAATGCTCCTGATTCATTCTTTATGAAAACAACCCAATCCACCCAGCACAAGATCGTCCTAAGAAAATGTAAGTTCTCACCTTTAGAATTATGAAAAGTTTCTTCCCAGAAAGATTCTTATAATTAGTAAATATTCTTACATTGTCAATTTTTACACTTTCTTTCCAGACAATCCCACAGGATACTGATTTATGTTTGAAGATGTATCCAAGACAGTGAGTGATCACCACAAACCAAAGGAGAGCAGCATTCACCTCTCAAACAATAAACAACACGCATTTATCCAAACTTTGTGATGAAATTAAAACACCAGGCTCACACTAATTACACTAATACATTAGATATAATCTAAAGGAGCAGCAACCTGTGTAAACTCTGCCTTAATTGCTCTGTGTTTTTTTTAAATTTGGAGGGCTATACGTGAATGGAAGAAGCCCACCGCAAATGACAACAGTTGACAGCTACTGACATGCTGAAGTATCCAAAGAATGCAAGGTCAGGAGAGGTAAGGGACAATCTGTTTTGTCTGCCACAACTATATAAAGATTGCAAGGGATTCAGATTATGCCTTACAAGCCTCTGTCAGAAGAGTTCAATAAAATATTTCTTAATTGATTTAATTTATAAACTTCCAGAAACTACTGTTTCTATAGCATCATACCGAAAGGCAATTGCAGGCTGAATTACATTCAGACACGTTCCAGTTACACTCCCAAGGTGTCCACCATCTATTTTTATTGTATTCCTAGAAGGGATTCCATACAACCCCCAAGTCTGACGTCTGGCTTGGAAAATAGCACAAAGCCTTTTCTGGAGGTCCTGTAATCCATTCATGCCAGAAAGGGGTCATTTTCATTTCCCACATTTAAATACTGCAGCAAACCATGTGCGGGCATCATGTTACACAAGAATGAACATTATTCCAAATCCAACAACAGCCAAATGTTTCTTTGTTGTTTTCCTAATTCAGAAAAGGACAATTTATAAAGACACTTCCTTTCTTTATGCCTTGGCTCCCCTCTCCACGTACAAAAAAAAGCATCTTCCTAACCAAGTACTCAGCCAGCCCTCCCCTCTCTAGCTGCTATTTGTTTTTCCTGCTGTAATTCTTCCTCCTTCTTCTTGTGAAGCTTTAGAAGATACTCATCAGGCTCAATTCCTGCCTCCTTTAACTCTGACATGGCTTTTTCCAAGCGGTGCAATGTCCTGGCACTCTGCACTTTTCGGGTAACGATGTACAATGTAAACTCCTTGAATCCCATCAGTTTACAGGTGTCCACCTCACAGATATCTTTAACATCTTTGGTTTTGTCCACTTGGGGGAAGAAAACCAAACCTGACATTTTTTCCAGATCTTCAATATTGACTTGGAATTCAGTCAGCTGGTGACTGAAGCCTATGGGATCATTTGGCACCACAAAAGCCCCCAGTACCAAAGGCTCCGTGGATGTTCGGGTCCGCCGGGCAAGGATCACCTTGTAGAGGTGGGATGGCACTGCCACATCATCCTTTCCAATTACCTGTCAAAAGAAACGATACAGATCTTATCAGTCAAGGGGAAAACGAAGACACGAGACCAATGCAACCACCTCTAAAAAGGAGTCACAAGGTCTAATTACACATCTAAATCACATGCAACGTTATGAGACCAGAAGATGAGATGGAAAGCACAATTTCATTGTGACTTGTCATACAACTGGTCAGGACTGAGCTAGCTGTTCCGTATCCAAATCCCTTTTTCAAGGAGAAAATCAGCAGAGGGTGGTTCACTGCAGGGCCGTTTGGCCACTGGTGGTAGAAGACATTCCCAGAAGTTTCTCAGCCTGTCTCGTAGTGCTACTGACCTCACACTGTAATATTAAAAACAACAAAAGACAAAAGCAGACAAAAGGCCAAAAGATTATCCAACCATTGTCTAGATGTTCGGAAAGATCAGTATTCGGCAAGGAGATCTGGTAGAAGAATTAGTTCAATTTAATTATTTTGCTCAGCTGCAAATCAGAGCAACTTCAGTTATAGCTGAAACTGAACTGGAACCGAATCTGAAAAACATATTTGGAAACAGGGAGCCAGCCAAGACCCCGGCTCTATAATCCTCTGGTGCAAATCTGTAAGTGTAACTGACACAAAGGGATGGTAGAGGTTCCTGTCATACTGCATCACACTGTTAACACTATGAAGGCTGTTTTTAGTAACAGTGGGTCTATACATTTCACTTGAAATTCCTGGTCTGACATCTCCAAATCATGTACTTTTTAAATGCCCATTTCAAGTTTACTCCAGCTTACCTTCTACCTTCTTTTGTCCCTCTATGATCCTTACACAGGTTGTATTTAACAGCTACATTACCCAAAGAAATATTCTTTTGGGGGCACTTGGATATAAAGTACATTAAGTAAGAAGCAATACTTTGGAAGAGAGAAACAAATGCTTCATATGATGCACCTTTTTCTCTCACAAATTCACTGTGATTTAACATAAGGGCTCATACATGTTGGATTTCCTACTGTCATTCACATTGGGATCCAGAAATTTAACTGAAGCGAAAGCAGATGATGAGGACTTCGAATTCACATGAAAGCTGCATTTACACATTTACAATGCATATACCCCCACTCTGTCTCAATAGTTACACACATATTCATGACAAATGTAATTTTTCCAGCAGTTAAATGAGTCCAGCATGCTCATGCATGCACTGCATTAGGCTTTTTCCCACCCCCCTCTGCAATACTGATGAACTGATTCTGCTAGGCTGATAAAGTACAACAGGCTCACACAGGGGAAGTTTCAGCTTTGCATAATCCATAATCCTTCTGTACAATTATCTTTCTAAACACTGTACTTTTTCTTCTAAAGGCAAGAGAAGAAAAAGATGCAGGCTCTGTACAAGAACTACAAAGGCACTGTGTTTTTAAATGCAATCCCATAATATGGTACTATTTGCAACACTTGCAAAGGCAAATACTGCTTATTCTTTTGACAGCTTTTGTTAGATGCAATTAAAATACTATTTCAGAGAAAGCAGGAATTTATTTCACTGCCAGAATCTATCACATTAATTGGAAGTACTTTGCAAACTATGCTGGTACATCAGTTTAGTCATGCTCTGTCCATTCAGATTCAGTATAACTCAACCCCAGAAGAAACACTTTCCATGTACACTTTGTTTTGAGAGCGTTCAGCACTTCTGCAAAAGGTAATGCATTTTTTCAAACTGAAATTTGCCTGTGGTACTGAAAAGTTTCCTGCAGTCTGCTCCAACTGTTAATTCATCTCAGCTGCGAATTTTAGTGCTTGAAGTGTCTCCTACCTCTGCTGTCAGTTCTGTAAGTGACAGCTCCTGAAATCTTATTGGACTGAAACTGGAGAAAGAGCCTCCAGGAGAAAGGCAAAGCCCTAACAAAGTCTGTTTATTCCATGACTTGTACATGATCATAGTAGTAACTTCATTGGCAAATGCACTCTTAAGATTTCTCTGCTCTGTTACCGAAAACTGAGCATTCCTCCCCCCTTCCCTCTATGAGGCTGTTTAACAGCACTGTTCTAGTTTATACTTTCGTACAGCAATGATCTTGCTTTTCCTAAATAAGGCTCTGCTTAGACATCTAGCAGCCACTGAAACTGGTAAGCAATAAATAAATGCCTTATGCTAAACCTACTTTCCTTTTCAACGATGACAGAAGTCTTGATAGGGAAATGAGAGCTCCTGAGTGTCAAAGCACTTTGCATTTAGCATTCAGTGTGGGTGAAACCAGGGTTACAGCTCCTCAGGATCAACTGCCTAAGTAATCAAAACTGACTGACGTACTGGTAGTTTTAAAATACACTGAAAAGTCAGCATCAACCCACTGCTATACCTGGTGGGTTAAAACTGAATTATAAAAATGAATGGTGCTGGAGTGTAACTTACTTGAGAGAGCGGGTGTTCAAACTAGGAGGATGCATGCCATGTACAGAGGGTGGGAAGAAGGGAGCTAAGCAGCATGAAAAGCCCCAAGGGGTGTGAGGAGGAGGGGATTCATTTTTCCCTATTCACCCAAGAGCAGCAGTGGGTGATGGTGCTGAAGGCAGGGGTTTCTTTTCTCTCCCTGGAGTATGGGAGCTGGCAGAGCCTGTGCTGCACTCCCACCTGCTGCTCACACCCAGGGCAGGGCAGAGGAGAAGGAAGAAGCTGTTAAGCTGCACTGTTCCCTCAAGCTGCTGCAGCTCCCTGGGAGAAAAGAGCACACAGAGGTTAAATCCTGCTCCCCAGGCTTCCCTGGGCCAACCACCTCCTCCTCAGCAGCACTCCTGTGTAGTGTGGCACATTCTTTCCCAGGGCTCCCACGTATTCCCCCCCCCAGTATGAATACAAATATACATCCTAGGTCCTCTTTAGCTGACCCCTTTCCCCTTTTCAAAACTTCATATACACACCAGCATCCTCTGCCTGTTGTATAAAAGACAAGAGGAAGTGAGAACATGCAGATGGAGCCGCAATGAGCATCTCCAATTAGGGGGTATGTGGCATGTGTAAAACAAACAGGTGAGTGTGTTGAGTGAAACTAGAAGAGGGAACAGGGGATTGAGTCTGAGGACTGAGTGGGTGGATAGAAAGGCTGGGGAATGAATAGAGCTGCATGTAGAATACTTAGGTATGAAATGGAAATGCTGAATGCCTGGAGTGGGTGTTAAGGGAAAAAGAGACCCTGTGCTTATGTAATATTATGCAAATATATATATTCTATGGAAAATAATGCACATTTATGCATAGTATATGAAGAAAGGATGAAAAGAAGGAAAGAGAACTAGTTTGAGAAAAAGGCAGTGTTGGCATTTGGAGAAAAGCAGCTCTAAATACAACTCTGCTGTATACAGATATATACAGATCTATTTAGTTGTACTGTACAGGCAAGAGCCATACATGTAATTTATGTACTATGTCAGTTTCATGCAAGTTCTCTTTTAAGAATTTAAATAAAATTTAAATAGTGCACTGCACAAGATTTATCCCAATCTTCTGAATAGCAATAAACTACTCTTGCCATTACTTTGCTAAGTTCTGATACTATAAAAGTGATTAAGATGAACTCCAGTCTGCCAAAGGCTGGAGTCCACAATTTCATCCTTTCCTTACCCAAACGAGTGTAGCTCTGCCCCCAGTTCATTCTGCTGATAGGGAATACCATCAAGAAAGGAAACAGAGGGTGCCTGACAAAGAATAATTGTGTTGGTTGGTTTCTTTTTCCTGAAGTTTAACACATAGGTGAACTGCACACAGATGCACTCCCAATAATCTATGCTGTTAATGATTCCTGTTAAAAAAATAAATGTTGAGCACGTGGCAGTATTTACATCATCATGCTCTGTAATAAATCACAAACTGCTCTTCCTTTGGAGTAGACACAGAAGGTGCAGAGGAGTACAGAGATGCCCCCCATACACAGCCCAACAGTGTGATTCCAGAGAAGTGAAGTTTGCAGCTGAAGCAACAGGTAAGAAAAACAAACTCAACAAATCATTTGCTATTGCCACCTAGAGGATTTTCCTACTGAACTACAATAGTCTGAATCACTTCTTTAACCTGCACCACTCATTTATCTTGATGCATGCCAAACAGAGGCAGAGAGCTTATACCCCTATTGTAACAGAAGAGAAAATAGGTTTAGGTTACCCATGCACAGATGTTGACTTTGATTTGTGCCAGTCTACCCACAGGCAGCACATGATCTTTCAGCAATCAATGCCCACAACAGCTATCTGTTCCAGCTGGAAAAGAGCAAGTTTTTAATAGTATATTTGACTCAAAAACACTTCACGAGGTAATACTGCCTAGAAAAATACAGCTATGGCATACTGAAAAACAATGCTGTGCCACAAGCTTTCACTCTACACTGAGAACAAGCCACAAGGTGAGTTCTCTTTATTCCTGCAAAACTTTCATAGAATCATAGAATGGCCTGGGTTGAAAAGGATCACAATGATCATCAGTTTCAACCCCCTGCTATGTGCAGGGTCACCAACCACCAGCCCAGGCTGCCCAGAGCCACATCCAGCCTGGCCTTGAATGCCTCCAGGGATGGGGCATCCACAACCTGCTTGGACAACCTGTTCCACTCACTGTGTGAAGAACTTCCTCCTAATATCCAACCTAAACCTCCCCTGTCTCAGTTTAAAACCATTCCCCCTTGTCCTATCACCATCCACCCTCATAAACAGCCGTTCCCCCTCCTGTTTATACGCTCCCTTCAAGAACTGGAAGGCCACAATGAGATCTCCCTGGAGCCTTCTCTTCTCCAAGCTAAACAAGCCCAGTTCCCTAAACCCTTCTTAACAGGAGAGGTGCTCCAGCCCTCTGATCATCTCACTTTGCTAAATCTTTTATTTTGCCTCAAGACAAGAAAAAACAAAAAAGCACTCTTAGTTTGAGTTCTCTTTTAAACATATTCCTTCCCCATCATCATTTGGGATACCAAAGTGAGATTTCAGATACTACTTTTCTTTTTTTGTTTTCTATTTGTTTACTGTCCTAACCTCT